CTCGTAGTTTGATTTACGTCGTCTCGTCGTGGTTCATTGCGTTTTGTTCGCTTCTATTGTCGCTTCATCGAACCGAACGGCTCGTGAGTTAGTCGAAATGCGATACCGGGGTTTGAAATATAATCCAACGTCATCTCTACTGGCATTAACTTCATCTAAGGTAGGGGCCAGTGGTCGTAGAGATTTGGCTCGCGGTTCTTCGCTAATCTGTCAGGAATGAACGGATAAAACGGTCGGAGTTCGGCATTGCAGTGGGCAGATGTGATTTCCGGGTTGTGGGTGAAGATAAGCGAAGCGATTGGATGAACCGGTCGGGCAGGCCGAAGAGAAGCTTTTCTGACACCGTATGGTTTCTCGGGATTCGGCACCGTCGGGAAGTGGGGTAGTGGGGTTGAAATAAGGTTGACGTGCATGATGATGGTGGGGTGATGGTGGCCGGAGATGGAGATGCTGAAGTCAACATACATATGGTTGTGGGCGACTCACCTTAATTTTAACTTACTGTAGGCTTTCTGGTAAAATCAGGATGAATTCGATTCTAACGGCGCCCACGCCGTTGATGGACGTTGATGGACTTTGCTTGTCTGTTTTCGGCATTGCACTATCAGGTCTGGATTCATTACATGTACGCCACCCACGTGTTCCACGATTTTCCTGCTGTTCAACAACCTTAAACAAGCATCTCACTTCAGTAAACTGGTGTGGATTGCCGTTCAATTAAGGTTTTAATACTTGCTCTATCTCTATACCTCGGGGGGCGCCCCGATTCCATCAACAGTTGGGCTAACCCGGATCTTCCAGGCTCCGATGGTTACGCTCCTCTCCGAACTGCGACGGTTTACGGCCGTCAAATTAAGGTTTCAGGCCTATCTCAAGTGGCAATGCCCAGACGAGGCCACCAACCTACGGGACGGGAGGTCCTCCGCTGGCCTTATCTTCTACGCTACCCATGTATTCTACACTTTAACATACGAACGGGCGTCCCGCCTCGAACTTTTCCACCCCAGCGATGCTTCCCCACATCTTGTCAACTTGACGGGTAGCCTTATAGAGACTATTTTGGATATGTTAAACTAGCTTAACTCTCCCTACCTGTGGTCAGATCCAGCTGCCGAATACTGGGACATATGTCCCTCGCTTATCGTGAGACCGATTTCAGCTCTCAAAGTCCCTCACGTTATTTCCCGTGGGTCCCTCGAAGTATCCTCCGCTGACCACGAAAGCTAATTCTGGTCTTGATACCAGGAGTTCTATCCCAAGATACCCTTCATAAATCAACCTGTATGTATTATCTCCACACGTCTCAAAGGCTTCAAAACTCCATTTGCATTTACATACCTTCGCCTCAGAAAACTCAATTACGACTGTTCATAATTCCTTTCCCAGTGGCAAAACGCTTCCGAAATTCTTCGAAACGGTAGCAGGTTTACTTCAGTACCTCTCGCCGTCAAAATTTTCATTTCCCTTCCAGGATTTCAACTTCCTCGCCATATCCTGTTAAATTTTGGGCTCTTCTTCCAAACGTCGCCTTCCAAACCCCATATCTCTACCTTGTCCTGCACAGCATGGTAAAGCAGGATTTTCCCATATCGGAGGTCCCGCCGTCTAAGGCGTATCTGGCCGACGGCGAGCTGTTGTGTCCCCTCCAAAGCTTATATCAATCAAGCCCAGGCCCAGAATTTCTATTTCCATCACACCTAGCCTCATCTAAAACCCGTTTCCATTCGCCAGAAGCAAAGTCAAACAAGGCATAACACGGCACAACGAGGCTGAGCAACAAAGATTCATCCATTCGGAGGCGTCGCCGTCGCACGTGTGTTTAGCCTGGAAACACCCGGGGATAGACGGTGGTCTCGACACTCGCCAATACTCGCTTAACAGCCGCTAATACCGGCTTAGCTTTTTTAAGCTTTGATGTGCAAAGCTTATTTGCGTGGAATTACTGTGATGGAGATAGTCGAGGGGTTTGAGCTTTCGATGAAGGTTCTGGAAAGGACACCAAGCGGAGAGGGCTCCGTCGCGGAGGTGTTGCCGTTTATCCCATCCACACAGGCACTCACCCATGGAGAACGGTGCATCGAGAGAAGCATTGTGATGGCGATGAATTCACTGACGTTAATCTTTATGATGACTTTTTACTGAGATTTCCTTCGGATTCGATGTCTCGGTTGTACTTCTGGATCAACTTTACGCCCGATTCTCAAACCTCTTCGATCATTAGGCGCCCATCACCGGGTTTGCTCAAGTAAATCCCAGAAAGCTGTTCGAAACTTGAAACATATACGTACAGAACCTACAAAGGCCCTGAGCACAAGTATAACTTCCTATTTACAACGGTAGGTAATCTTTCCGGGTAAGTTTCACAGATAAACCCTGTTGCATTCTATGTTTAATGCTTTGACAGCTTCTGTCTCCATTAATCTGGTACTGATCTCAGGCACCTGCAGTAGGACCTCAGAGATCGCCCCGGTACTCCAAGTCCTGAGTACTTATGGTCCGTGGTCACGCAATGAGAGATCTCAGCCCCTAATTTCCGGCGGGTCTTAACGTTCAATAAAGGTTTGAGGAAAAGACTCCCGTACTGCGGTACATTCGAGATACCTCAGATAAACAACACAGCATATGCTAAGTGTCCAAAGCTTGCCCCATATGTATATATCGCTGTCTCTGCTATTAAGGAGCGGGTGTACCATCCGAGCGTCATCGTGCTTGAGTTTACCCCGAGATTCAGAACTTAGGAAACCTGCCTTTCATGGGATAGAGCTGATTGAGTAGGGAAACGGGTCTCACTATGAACCCTGATTTCATTTGCAAGTCCTGGGGCCTCGCTAATCGTGGGTTGACGATGATCATGATACCTAGTCATGGTCACAGATCATACCAAATCCGACGAGTGATTCTCGCGGCTCGTCAAAGCCGGATATCACCGATTCGAAAATCAAGACAGCTGAAGTTTACTCTACTATGATATCTGCTGAGAAACAGAGTTTTAGTAGGCAGTTAATCTTACAACAATCAAAAGACCATCATTTGGGTCTCGATACCAAATGTCTATTCTAAAAGCTGCTCGAAGGGCGACACTACACATCAGCTCCAGATGATTGCTCGCTTCGCAAAAATAACGGTCAGGTTTTCTCTGATGAAAACAAAATCGAAGACATGCATTGAATAAAATCGAAGACATGCACTGCCAACAAGTAGAATGCCTAGAAGCGACATTGGTTCAAATGTGACCTTGGGTTCTGGAGGAAAGCAAAAAGAAATGGAGGAGCGGCGAATCGAACGCCGGACCGCCTCTATGCTAAAGAGGAATTATACCACTAAACCACACCCCCAATTTACATTGGGAACAATGAAATAAATATTTTATGTGTAATAGTGTTTATAGCCATTCGTGCAAGAGAACACAACTAACGACGGTCCATAGTTACACTGGCAATTAATTCTTAGACGATTATTTCTTTGTCACTCAGGATGCCCGGTGACTGGAGGTACTTTGTAATGGTAACCCCTTTCATGTATATGATACCACTCGGGACTTCCTTACGAAGAGATGAGTGAATAATTCCGGGCTGTCCGCATTCATGCATCATTTTGCACTCGGACTAAAATCTGTACAAGAGTGTAGAGTTGCGCAGGTAATGTATTCAGTCAGAAATATTCTTGACTGTTTGAAGAATGATTAAGGAGCAGGGTAGATTCATGCCTCAAGCTAAGATAGTAACAAGGCCATTAGTAACGCGTAGTAAATACAGAACTCTTCACCACCTCTCACTCATTATGGTGATAAAGCATGAGTAACCGCTTCTCGAGTAACGCGCCCTAATGAAGCCACGGTTTAGGAATCATCCCCTATAGTACCGGAAACTTCAGAAAGCGCTCTTTGAGGTAGCACGTAAAACACGGAGATACTCAACAGGCATGGTTCCCTGGCAAGCTAACGCAACATGCTGTAGTCAGAGGTGGAAGAACCAGGGACTTGTGTTCAGTTTCTAGCATACCGGGATGCCTAGCTTCCAACTATTTTAAAGAGATTTCTGAACTTTACGGTAGTACCGGGGTAGCATTATTTGGCCAATTTTGAGCGTGAGAAATTTCAAGAAACGAACTTAAATTCGGTACTCATACGATACAACAGCCATTATAACAAAGTCATATACTCTAACAAACAAAGCTTGAACGTCATATCTCCTACTATACTTGACCCAGAACATAGAAATAGCAACATCGCAACATCAGCCACGATTAATCAAAACACAGCGTAGGTGCATCCGCAAACCGCACGTCAATGTTCAAACATTCCCACCGTCAGTCCCGGTCATTCACCCTCACAAAAATCCCTGAGCGTACTTTTCGAATCCAGATTTATATATCGTTGCTTGGCCCACAAAAAACTATCCAAACTACCGTTCAGTTAGTCGAGTACAGACCAATACTGTCTCACAATTGACGAAATCACTTACTATTCTTTGCAATCAACGTTTTCAACGTTTTCTTGTTGGCTCGGTTTGAGCATAAGGCAATAAAACTTGCCAATTGAGATGTTGCCGGAGCACGTTCCATACATGTCTAATCACGCAGTAGATAGGATGACCGGGCGGACATTTTCTATTAAAGATATCCAGGTCCCTGAGCAGAATACATTTGATAATATGTCCTCTGTATATAAGCCAGAACAGAAACAGGTAGCTGCATACTTGGCTTAAATGGGCGGCATCGTGAATATCGAGGTATCCAAATATTTTCAAGAGGATAGGGTGAGGTAGGTCGATACCTTTTTCTTCCGGCATCCTGAAGTAGAAGTCCATGGAGAATAATGATATAATGGAGGTGGAAGTGTGAGAGATGTTGGATGAGACAGTGGCAACCCGAGATCGAATTTATGGTCCATGCCTTCGGCTAAGAAACAACAGAAAGATGGATGCTCCATGTCGGCTGAGGATTATTGCAATTTATTTTACAATGTACTTGATATACATTGTTTTTGAAGCTCTATATGATCCCCCGTGGCGCAATTGGCTAGCGCGTCTGACTGTTAAAATCTTGTTTCTGCGATCAGGAGGTTGGTGGTTCAAGCCCACCCGGAGGAGTTTTTTTACTGATATTTTCTCGTTTTCCCCTGTAAACATTGTTAATCGCAAGATTTCTTTTTGTTCAGATCACTCCAAAGAGCTCACATCATATGTATGTTCAATGCCCGATGAGCCGGTTATGGATACGTACCGTAATGCATCAACTTTACGGAACTACGGGTGGCTTAGGACCTTTCGACTTATTATTCTTTTTGGTGCATACTCTTACGCAACATGTCTAAAAACTTGAACTCCAAAGTCGATGCCTTTATCTTGAAATATAGAGTAGAACGGCCGCAAAGCGTGTGAGCTACAGTTTATTATACCAGTTATTCGTAACGGAATACAAAAAGAATGTCCCTCCGACCGGAGTCGAACCGGTGACCAACGGATGGCAGCAAATATTACAGTCCGGTGTGATACCAACTACACCACAGAGGGTGTGGACAAAAGCTGCAGTAAAGTAAACAATATAAAGTTTAAATTGTTTAGTATACACCATGCACGATTACATATGCATGTACGCACATACCTTCCGCAAAAGCGAGTGCTGGTGCATGACCTCGGACCGTACTTCCATTTCGGTACCCATTATCCCGACCGCAATCTGCATTCGCTATCTTGAACTTCCGACCGATAGTTCCAAATATCATCCAGAATATCCATGATCATATAAAGTCCCCCGAAACAGCTGCCATACCCCACCTCATCACCCCACAATTCCGCAATGCGTACCATCTTCCTGTTCTCCCTGCCGACTCTGCTCACCGTAGCATCCGCCTATTGCCCACCCACCGTCTTCTTATTAGCCGGTGATTCCACCACCGCTTCTCTCTCCGCCAACGGCGGCGGTTGGGGCGACGGCTTCAACGCCACCCTCGTCCCTCCCGGCGTTTGCGAAAACCACGCCCTCAACGGCCGATCCACAAAGACCTTCATTGACAACGGTGATTGGGGTAGATTACTTGAATCCGCAGCATCGTTCAGCGAGAAGGAATATCGGGTTTTCGTTACCATTCAGTTTGGTCATAATGATCAGAAGTTGGTAGATTTCGAGGAACAGTTCAAGACGAATCTAAAGGCAATGGTCGGGGATGTTAGAGGGAAGGGTGGGGTACCGGTATGTTCCGAGTCATGAAAATGGAGTGATAATAAATGAAGGACTGATGGAAGTAGGTACTGGTGACTCCGTTAGCGAGGAGGAATTTTTGGCCTAATGGCACACTTAATGATATTCTTTCGCCCTGGGCAGGTTACGTTCGTGAGGTTGCGGAGGAGATGAAGGCGAATAGCATCGATTTGTGGAAGGAGTCGAAGAGGCTATTAGAGGCAGTGGGAGAGACCCAAGCGAGGAGGATAGATTTGGCGGATGGGGATCATACGCATTTGAATCATGCTGCGGAGAAGGTTTTTGGGAGAATGGTTGCGGATCTGTTGGTGGCAGAGTTGAGCGAGAGAGGGAGAAAAAGATTGGATGTGCGGTGCGTCGTCGGGCGGAACGAGACTATGAGCCGTGAGATAAAGAAGGGAGTGATGAGTTTTTAGCCGCGCTGTACGAGAGTTGTTGAATGGTAAATGGATAATTCACGTTACGGTATTACATGTAACGCCATGTCAGGTGATTAACCCAGCATGCGACACGTCTTTTGATCTGATATCGTAGTTCATTCTAGTCATAACTCATCATAATCTACATGCAATCGTCTAGTTGTACATAACCTTCTGCGACAATTCCTGCTTGTTCATTGCTCCACAAGTTGCACACTTTCTGTCGCCGGTCAACAACCTCCAATTGGTGCACTTTGAGCATCTCCGCGCCAAAATATCTTTGTCGATCTTGGTCTCGCTCCTGATCAAGCTGTCGTTGTACCATCTCAATAATCCAGCCCATCGGTTCTTGAACTTTCCTCCGGCGACAAGCTCCTTCACCTTTGCGTCCGACATGTTCAAAATCAACTGCTCAATCTCTGGATCCACAGGCTCGCTCGGCTTCCCAGGCAACATCTTGATCACGCTGTCCGCAAACTCCGCGTACTCAGGCTCACGCGCACCCCAGTCCCAGTTCTTCAGGATATCTCCCGCAGTGTTAAAGTCGTAAGTCCGCATCTTTTGCCATCCGGGCATACCAGTTCCAGACAAGTACTGCCAGAGCGGTCCAAGAGGCCCCAATTGAGGGGAGCGCATTAATACGTAGTTGAAGACATTCATTCTGTGTAGTCCATCGACGCGGCCATTACAGTATTCCTCATACTTTTGCATCGATTCAGCTCTACCCTTGGCGTCCTCTGAATCGAGGTAAGAGGCGGTAAGCTCAGCAGCGGCGACAGAAGTTCCCATGTTGGCGTTGATTCCAGGCGAGTAAAGAGGGTTAGTGAATCCAGTTGCGTCACCGATGGCGATGAATCCATTTCCAGTAACTTTGGGAGATACGTAGGTGAGGTTTTTGCGGATATACCAGGTGGTTCCAGGTCCATACAAGTCACGGACAAGCTTGTGCTTTGACATCAGGCCGGCCATCTTGGGGTACTTAGCGGTGATCCAGTTGAAGCGCTGCTCAGCCTCGCAGGAGCCGTACGACGAGAGGTCGGCGGGGTATTCGGTGTCAGTTCTAAGAGCGAATCCAATGGAGACGACCCAGCGGAATTTAAGACCGAACATTCTGGCGAGCTCAAGGGATGAGGGAATCTCGTCTGCGGGAACACCGGCATAGTTGAGGTCGAGGAGGTAGTTGATCATCTTGGTCAAGTTCTTGATGCTGGAGCCCTCCCAGGTGGGGAGACGGATAACCCAAGCCCATCTATAATCGTCAGATTTGGCTCAAAATATTTTTGGGAAAATGGGTAACTTACCCCTCTGGAAGACAAATATGGTTGGTGTTGACACTCTCGTAGTGGTCCAATGGAATTTCGGACTCGTCGACGGGACATTCGAAGTAACCCCAGAAGGCATCGGTATTCCAACCATCAAAACGCTGTAGACGGGCCTCCTTACTGGCAAAACGACGGAATCGACCAGTCGCATCAACGACAAGCTTTGCGTTCACTTGCTTGCCGGCCACAGGGACCTTGCTACCACCATCTGCCAAGACAGTGTTATCGATATCCACAGAATGTCCATGCCACACGTTGACACCCATACGCTGGGCAATCAGAGTCAACATCAGTTCCGAAATCTTTCTCTCGATTTGCAAAGTCGGCACAAAATCTCCCGGAGGTCCATTGGCACAGAATCCGGTGTAATTCTCAGGATCTCCATTCTGCGGCATGTAATAGAAAGCCAAGCCATCTTTCGGTCCAAACAAACGCCACAACATTGGTGACTCAATTCCAATGGTCTTCAACCACAATCCGAAGGTCGTCAATGTACTCTCGCCGATTTTGTATGAAGGACTTCCGGCCTTTTCGACGACGTTAATGGTTCGACCAGGTGAGAGTTTGGCGGTATGGATTGCATAGATCAACGAGTGGATTCCTCCTCCGACAACAAGAACATCCGTATCATTGAGAGGGGTCTGATTTGCCGCATTCAAGAACGCAGTTTCGCCATCATTACGAGCATGTCTGGTGATAAGCCGGCGGTTGATTGGAAAGTCCAAAAACCGAAAGAACTTGGATATCGAGAAAGCTGCGTGCCGTGGAAACAGCAGCACCAGCGAAAGGAAAGAGGTCGCCCACATAAACATGATTGCGCGATGAGAAATTTTTCAAGCGGGACTGTGAGCTTTATGTCAAATTCTCTACTTGATGGACTGCCCCGCTTCTTGGAACCCGGCGAGCCGAAGGCGGCTGCGAATTCCCGCCTTTTACCTCAAAGCCCTCTAGAGCGTGATCGCACGAGTGCTCAGCGCGCTAGGTCTTCTGAGAAGGCCGTTATTGCCGGCGTGAGAGACTGTCTAGCGCGCATAAGCGCACGTTGCTAGATGCCAAGAGGAAGGTGTGGTCAAACGCACGCTATCGGCGCGATTTAGAGGTGGAACGTGGTCCATGCCGGGCGCGTAGGAAAGGCGGAACTTAGGAAAATGCGGGGGGGTTTTTTGGTTCGCGGGTCGATGACATACGATTATGGGAGGTGATATGGAGCGAGAATTCACAATTCAGTACGTCCACTAACATCATGTGCGAAGTGGAGACCGATCAAAAGGCTTTAAAGGTTGAATTACGAAATCCCGAGACCATGTACCGAGATGAGTTGCAGCTGTGTGAAGCGCGCTAAAACGTGCATTAGAGGATGTAAGCACAGGAGCAGGATAGATACGAGACACACGACGGCCACTGCTTCTTAGAGATACAAATGTGATACATAAGTAAAGGCATACTGTGTGTTCTCATGCATAGACAATATTGCATAGACAATATTGCATAGACAATATCACAATTTTCGTTCACCCGATGATCTCCTAGGTTGCTCACATCGATCTACCTTTGCCAATATCTAACTCAGTATACGATGAGAATGTCATTCGAATTTCAAATGTACATTCTTTCTCCCATTCTAGTTTCAACATATGTCTAGCCGAGCCGAGGTCGGCATATCTTGAAAACAAAGAAACTTGATGAGCCGGATTCCGGAACGCAACCAGAAAGCGGCAGAATATCTAGAGTACTTGGATTTACCCGTTGACGAGTATTATAGATAAGTGGTCTTTAATGGTTAGCCCTCCCGGGAAGCTCCTCCATGCTATAAATTCGACTCGAAGATCACTGCCATGTTGATGAAAGGCTTCACGCGCATGATGTGGTAGCGTGGCTTGGCACTGGCCCCGGGTAGATCAGAGAGCTGGTTGATCCGCGCACGGAGTGATACGCAAGCTCCACCATCCTCCACTTTCGCATCTTCATTTTGAAAAGCTTCGTTGACGCACTTGTACGTATCGATCCTTCATAACGGTACCTTCGGGAAACACCAAGTTTCAGTCACGACTCACCAGAACCGTTTCAATTTCCTGGAATAGAAAAACTTATTTCAATTTGTAAATATTTTGGCGTTTTTAAATCGAATGATTTCAGAACACGAATAAA